ATTTGATTTGTTCTTTGTATATGAAGACTGATGACTGGAAGAATCTGTGACCAGAGCCATTGTGCATCCATTGGCCTGAAGATCTAGTCTGTACTACTTTCCACCTCCTTCCTTGCTTCAACTCAAGAAGGCATCCCACCCCCTCACTGACTATTGTGTGCCAAGCTATTGCTGATTAGGCCATTGGTTGGTTTTCAAAACTACTCTATGTGTATGATGTTGCTTCAAGTTGTATCCCTACCAATTCTTTAATTTGTGTTGCTTAAGTCAGTCATTTTTCAGTTTTTCACACAGTGGGTCATTAGATGGCTTTCTGCTGGCTAATAGCCAGCCCATCTGATCAATGTGGGGACAAGCACCCCTTTGGTAAACATGCTGTATTCAGCACCTTGGCTAGGTAATGAATCCTGTTTGCCCCTGATGATTAAGTATGGCTCAAAGATAAACACCTGAGTTTACCCACATTTTTGCCCAAATAGAATTCTGGATTTTATATTCAAAATTCAAATGAGTTTTATTTGATATATAAAAACCCTAAATTTGATAGGTAAAAACCTACGTCCCTTGTATGTTCAGAAACCAAGAATGGAATTGTAATATATATGTTAAGAAAACTTCATCTATATGTTTCCCTTGTTTATTTCCAAATATGAATTGTCCAAGTAAAAGCCTGCCACTGCTAGTCTCTAACAATGCCATGATTTTGGCAGAGATCCAGAAAGCATCATCATGTATTATTTGTCATTTTACAAAACCTGAAGAAATACTTAAAAATTCAGTTTAAAAAATCTGAGTTAGGAATGGAAACTCACTCCATTTATGCTGATCTTAAGCTAGTCTAAAATTTACAGTCTTCATTCCCAGAGACATTGAGAGGTGCAGTGATTTGGCTGGGGTAACATACCTCAGACAGTGCTGCATACTGGGTCTTCCTGACTCCATGGCCATCCTTTTGCTCATTATACCATGCTACCTTTCATAATTAAGTAAAAATATACTGTAAAAATGTGTTAGTTTTTCCACAATCCTTCCAAAACCCATGCTCATATATCACTAAGAAGAATTCTGTTCCCTGAATTTCTAATTATTTTTAAAGTTTAGGAGATAACAATAGTTTCTTCTTATAACAAATGTCATTATCCATTTTTTTCCTTTATAAAGTTAGTATATTAACTTTTAATTAGTTTCCACTTCAACTACCTAAATTTGAGGTAGCAATGTATTGGTTCTATTAAATGGAGAAATGGTGCTTCTCTGCCAATCCCCCAAACCCTACCCAGTGCTATACTGTATTAGGCTCAAAGTGTGCAATTTAAATCACCAAGGAAATGCAGTCCTCAGACCTATTGTTCACTGGCTTAGCATACAAATTAAAATTCATGGATTTTCTTAGGGAAAAAATATAGTTCCTTATTAAGCATGGACATAATACATGGCACCTGCTTCTTTGCATGGACATCAAAGTTTGAGGAGTAAGATTCAAACTCTATGTGATCTTCTGATTGACTCTGGTAAGGAGTTGCATAATCTCAAACTTGTAAGCATACTGTTTCAGTACTGCACAAAGTGATTGGATAAACCACGAACCATATGTTTTATTTCTCCAAGAATAATAGCCTGTAGATATGCATATGATCTGCCTCAACAGGTATTTTCTGGCACATTACGTCCTTATCAGTGATGCTGTCATGAGTGCCGCTATCTGTCTCAACACCACAATCCAACTCTGTGCCTGTACATGCCTGAATAATAAAAAGCTTTGGTTTTCCTCTTAGACTTCTACACTTATACCCTTTAAAGAAACTCTTACTCTTTTCAGTTCAACAGATCCATCCATCCCAAAGATAATTCCTTCTTCACCATGACTTAGAATCATGCAAACAAAACTGCTCCTTTGGCTGTGATCTTCTTTAGAAACGTTGTACATTAATTCAACTATTTCTTTACATGTCAGATCTATTGTATTCCTGACTTGATATTTCAAACTCTTGAACATATCCCTGAGCAGTGCTATATCTACATCTACATGTATGTAACAAAATGGCATGCCAGTGTCTGGATGAAAATTTTCATTATTGATTATTACACATAACTCCATTTCTGGATAATCCATTTTATAGCTGTCTGATGAGAGTCCAGATTCTGCTGACTTGCTACTATGGAGGATTTTTACTCCTTAACTTTGATGGATTTTGAATCTACTGCAATTTCAGTATTTGCCATGGTGCTTCTATTATCAACGCAAAATGACTGAAGTCCAGAGTCGTCTGTGCTCCATAGACATGACTGGTCCTTATTAATTTTTACATGGTAAGACTTAAACTATAGAGGACTTCAAAGGATATTTTTATCATCTCTTTTTTTGGCTGATAAGAAAAGGAAATGCATTCTGACCATTGTGACAATCTAAAAACTAACAAAGATACAAAATAACATTAAAGTTCTTGTAGAGATAAGCTAAAAATCTACAGACACACTAATTTTGTTTTAGTCTGACAAACTGTCACCAGTTAGTCAATGATGCTTATTCAAAACCCCTGTCTAGGGGCAGCTAGGTGGCGCAGTGGAGAGAGCACCAGCCCTGAAGTCAGGAGGACCTGAGTTCAAATCTGGCCTCAGACCGAACACTGGACACTTACTAGCTGTGTGACTCTGGGCAAGTCACTTGGCCCCAATTGCCTAAAAATAAAATAATAATAATAAAACAAAACCCCTGTCTACAAAATGTTATGAGAGAACAGAAGACACAAGTTGTACCGTGCGTAAATTGAAAATTCATGGGAATATTGGCCATACATAAAAAAGCCATAAGGTTGCAGTCATAAAGAAATATATACAATAAGTTCAAAATGGATAAGTAACTTAAATATAAAAAGGTCATACAATGAAAAAAAAACAAGAGAGCTAGACAAGGTACCTTTGACTACATTGACTATCTAGCTACAGCTGGGTCTAGGTGGCAGGTAGAATTTTAATCAAACAAGGGATTGACACAGTCACAAATAAAATAATTCCAACCACCTAAAATTGGCTCAAATGTGATCACAAACCCCCTTTTGTACACTGAAGAAATGCATATGTCCTCAAGAAACTGATATAGTTATGAGCCATGGATTTGGAGTCAGAGAACATGAGTATGAATCCTAGTGTTGCCACCTACAACATGCAGTACTTTAAACATGCCCTTAACCTCTCTGGGTCCCAATTTACTCATTTATAAAATTAGAATTCAATAAAATTCAACAAAATAAAAATATGTATAAAATTAATGGTTTGGACTAGATAAGCTTTAAAGTCCCTCTGTGCTCCAAATTTATAATCCTTTGCCTCCATGATTCAAGAAGTTTCACTGAATGGATGAGCACTAATAGAGATTTACTAACAATGGTTAGTGTTCAATTTCTATGAGATTTGGTGACTATTTTTCATACTTTCCCTAAGAACATACTGGGGTATATATCCAAGCTACACTAGGCATACCCTTCCCTCCTTGCCCTCTCACCTAATTCAGGCCACCTACAACCTATCTATACTTGGCTGCTCACACAGCTTGAGTCGAATAGGAGTCACCAGTTCCCTTGAGGCACAATGGAGGACCACCACCTTACCATTTATTGAGCTTCTATGCCTGCAGACCTCCGGCACAATCACCTGACCTCTTGGTGGCCCAACGTAAGGGCCTCATCTACTATGCTGCTGAACCATTCGAACTTCTAGGCCTTTCCATCTATTCTGCAGCCAAACTTATTTTTTATGTGCTATTTCTTCCAATGACAATGTGAGCTTCTTTAGAGAAGGGACTGTCTTACCTTTTCTATTTGTGAACCCAGTGCTTGGCACATCACAAGCACTTAATAAAAGTCTTTTCATTCATTCAAGTCCCAGAAATAAAGCCCTGGGAAATTTATTGTTGTTCTCTAAGACAATTAGGCCAATAATAACATATGGTTTTATAAAGCTAGTGATACTGATTTTGAAAATCAGTCAGCTTCTATCACCAAAAGCCTAATTTTAAAGCATGAGAAATACACAATAAAAAAATAATTATCAGTTTTGTTGTCCTACCATTGGTGTACAGCCAAGTTTAAACTTTATGAGGTTAAAGTTCCTATGGTAAATGGCCCCCAAATGACCTATTTTTCATTACCTTGTATTACAGCATCTTCTGCCAGACTGTTTTGGTGGGTGTTAGACTAGGCTCTCAGGGAAGCCAGCCGGCAGAATGGCAATTCATCACTCCAACAGATGGTCCAGTTTTAAACCTAGGAAATCCTACTGGAGAAATCTATAAACAAGACTTTTATTGCCATTCTTAGGTATTTAGCAAAGAACAGAGGGACTAGTGCTGTAAGGGATATATTTCACGGGGTTTTCTTATGTTTGTCAGAAATGCATGATGAGTAAATAATACTGAGATAGCAGGAAATATTTTTTTTTCCACATCATTTATTAGGCCAAATAAGTGATAAGAAAGCATGCAAACAAAACTTGTCTGAATAAAAAGTGGTGAATTTTTTTTGTTTCACTTTTCAGTAAGAATATTTGACAATATATGTGTGTATATGTAAATACAAACACATATATGCAAAAATGTGTGTGTGTATGTGTGTGTATATATATATATGTATATACACACACCCCCATTCTTTCTAATTCTCTTTCTCCTCCATCTCCTTTCTCTGTGTCTGTCTCTCTTCTAATTTGAGGAACAGTTACTGACCTGCCACACTGATATAGAGAATTTCCCTACTAATATAGTTCCCTACCCCAATGAATTAATAGGCCCAGTTTAAAACACACACATATGTGTGTCTTCCTATATAGACATATATATATATATATACTATATGCAGTGTGACACCAAGACTGTAAATCATGTGGCTTCTCATATGTGTGTATGTTTATGTAGATGAATCAGTATATAGGATTATGTAAATATATATATATATATATATATATATAAAAACATATACATACAAAATGTAGGTATATGTGTGTATGGATATGTATGTGTGAGTATATGTATAGAAAAGGATATGTATGTGTAGGTATAATTATTCCCATCTAGCATTGTGACCACATGTAGTTTAGGCCAGACTTGATCTGGATCTGCCCAAGGTCTTTGGCAACCAGACTAGACACAACAGCAGGTCAGAGCATCCTGCAGCAGGTGTCCAAGGTGCCTTTCTTGGCCTTTGCCTCCACTGACTTTTATCCTTCTAGGTCATTCATACCTGAAAGTGGTGGAGAGGCCAAACAGGGCTGATTCTAGAACTGATCAAGAAAACCACATCCACCTGATACTCAGGGAGTTCTTTCTGAAATGTGTTGCCGGTGTGTCAGAAGGAGAACAGCTGGTGAGAATGTGTCCCTTTGGTTATATCAGGGAAGAGGAAAAAAAAAGAGATGGGTGGAGAAAGGCACCAGTCACAACACAAAATACATATAAATTTTTAATGAATTAACCTTACAAAAGACAATGGCTTCAAAACAAGGTGTATTTTGTACAAAACTGGTCCTGTGTGGTGAGGACTCTGTCTGGTTTCGATGGCAATGGACCATTGGCTATGAGATCTGAGACAGTGCTAGAAAGCCGTCACTGGCAACACCACATCACAGAGGGCCTGCAGGCTGCCACTGGTTAGGAGACACGCAGGTGAAGACGGTCCAACTAATATGGAGGGACAAAACCAACCTATTTACAAATACTGTGTATTTTAATATCAGACTAGTGGATGCGGTTGGGGAGCTACTATATTTTCCAGAAAATAACATGCACCAGAAATTATACACCCCCTAGTTTTATTGCCTTAAGAATTGTTTTGTTTGTATTCCTCCTAATATTGTAAGTCCTTTCATTCTTTTCTTCTTGTTTCTCTTCATTTTTTTTCAGTTTTTTTTCTGCTTGAGCGTAAACACAGTGCAAATGGCAGTACAGTCGTCTAATCCCTTGGTGTTCTCTGCAAGTATCCCAGCACGTCAGAAAAGAGACGTGTGAGCCACTGGGGCATGCAGACTCTTCTGCACAAGTTCCATAGAGCAGAAAAGAGCACACGCATTCAAATCAGGGGAACAGAAATGCCTTCCAAAAGTGTGGGGCACTTTCCTGAAAAGAGGATATATTTTGCCAAATTCAGGCATATTCTTCAGGATGCCACATTTGCCTGGGAAAGGGACCTTGCCATTTCTGTATGTACAAAATATGTCTTCAGTTCACCTTTTCCTTTCACATTGATTATTCCTCTGCAAGTGCACATGTATCCTAGTGTCTGTAAGACAATGTTTGTCTCCTCAGTGACCTGAAATAGAAGTTTTAAAAACATAATTAGCATAGCTAGATTGGAAAAATGGAATCAGATCTCAAAGTCTGCTTTTTTCCCTATTAGGTTTGTGTATATGTACACATATTAATACTATATGTGTAAATACATATATATGAGTACATGTGTATATATATATATATATATATATATATATATATATATATATATATATATATACACACACACACACATTATTTATAAATGCATATGGAGAATATACATAAACACAGCTATTTTTCCAAGAAAGATATTTGCAAATGATTGTCGTGTATGCAGTCATTAATACATTTGTTACTTATTGGCCAGTTAGATCAAAACCCCAGTTTGATATTTAAAGATAATAAGCCTTTTGTTATTCTACAGAGCAAAACTCAAGAATCGGACCTCTTATAACAAGGGGGATTTACTGTGCTATATATGTAGTGTTTCCAGACCAAACTACATACCACTCTCTATGCTGCTATGCAATTATGAAGCCTAAACCTGATCCAGATATCATAGGATTATAGATTTGGATCAGGAAGGGATCTCAGATGCTATCTAGTCCAAACCCTTCATTTTTACAGATGAGGAAACAAAGGCTCAAGGTCACACAGAAAATAAATGACATCTGAACTGAGGTCCTTTGACTAGACTTCTCGAGCAGTTTCTGAATCAATACAGCCCTGGAAGACCCACTGTACACCAAGATCACCAGTGGTATCATTTTGGAATGTGATCAGTGAGGAAGCATTAAGATAATATCTTATTAGAAGAACAAACAACATCTGAATCTGTTGTGTGCAATAAGTAGATTTGAAGGAAGGAAGAAATTCCTTTAAATAATTAAAAGGTAGCACAGTCTAGTCAAAAGAGCACTGGACAGGCATTACTGACCTAGGACCTGGTTCTTTGACTGATTAGTGCTATGATTTTGGGCAAGTCATTTAGGATGATGGAATTATAGATTTAGATGTGGAAAGAATCTCAGAAGTTATTTGGCATGATATTCTAGTTTTTCAGATAAAGAAACTGAGGCTCAGAGAAATAAAATAACTTGTCCATGGTCCCACATGGCAGAAATGGCAGTGTTCTTTGCAGTATACTATATTTCTCTGGGCTTAATATTTTTGTAGCTGCAAAATGAGGGAGTTGGACTGGAGAGAAAGTATGGTACAATGGAAAGAGCTGACTTTGGAATTAGGATACCTGGATTGGGATACCTAAGGATATCTGCAAATCCTGTTTCTGGTACTACTCACATGTCCTGGAGCAAGTCACCTAATCTCTATGGGGCTTGGATTCCTCATCTATAAAATATGATCCCATAACTAGATGGTTTCTAAGAAGCTTTCTACCACTAAAGTTCACTAATTTACTAAGGACTCAGACTGTTTTTGAAATTACAAATGACTGGGAGACAAAGACCTTTTGCCTGACTTGCAGCTGTGAGGAATGGTGCCAATCTTTATGAGAAAAAACAAACACACAAATAAACAAACAAACTTTTGGTTAAATTTGAACCCAGACTCTTGGCTCTTTTTCCTGTTGTCTCGATGTTTCTATTAGACATATGCCTGTCAATTCCAACTCAACCTGTCCATCATCTTGCCTTTTAGCTTCCTTTAGCTTTCCTCACTTTTTTATTCCTGTCAATATATTCCCAGTCACTAAGGCTCAAGAATCTGGCACTCTCTTCAATTATTTTTATTTATTTTAGTTTCCATCAAATTTTAGGTATGCGAGAGATACTGTGAAAGTAGAATAATGGGATTTAGTAATTGAATATGAGAGCAAAGACTGAAACATAACATCAGGATTTTAAATATATGGGAGATAAGGAAAATGGAAAGTCCACTGAAGCAGTGATAACAGAAGAATAGGTTTTGGGAGAAATATAGTGATTGGTTTTGTACATTTCAAGTCTAAGGAGCAGGTGTGATATCTAGGTGGGAGCTAGTGCAAGTAGTTAAAGATTAAGATGTGGATCTTGGAAGAGAAGTCAGGCCTCGAGGCAGAGGTTGTGCCTATGTGCCTATGTGAAAGCTGAGGCCATGACAGTGAGTGATTTGGGAGAAATAATGGAGAGGGGTCAAAAACAATATCTCAAGGAACAAGGAGCCAAGAGCAAAATGAGAAACCAGTGAAGGTCAAAGAGAAAGAGTGACTGTGGAGGTAAGAAAGGAATTAGGAAAATAGGATGCCTCAGAAGCCAAAAGAGGCAAAAATGTTGAGGAAGAAAGTATAGTCTAAAGTGTTAGATGAGCTCTAAGTTCTTTCTTCTCTAAAGGCATATAATCAACAGATCTGTTGGTCTTATAGAAGTGGCTCTGGTAGATTCTATGATGTGGAAAGACTTCAGCTATGAATCTATTAGTGAGTCATATATTGAAGGTCTAAGGTCACCCTGGCTAACTTTAGAGAGGCACATCACCAGAAGTTTGAATGCCAGGTAAGGATATTTTTTTTCCTGGTGTGTTAAAATTATATCTTTTTCTGGTCCCCTTGATCCTCTCCCCTCTTCCAGTCAGTATATTGGTTTTATAAGTAGCCGATACAAAGGGTAATAGTAGGAAATAAGATTGCAAAGGGGAACCTGGAAATCACGTACAAACCATCCCAAAGATCAAAGGAGCATCATTTACGAATTGTATCATGTATTAACTAAAATTCACATCTTGTTAATATGAGCCAAATTGAGGAAAACCGTCTAGGCACTGCTTATCAAGGTTCTGGTCCTATGATATGTGAATTCCAGACTAAATCCATACTTCCACACTCCAGACCAGCTGAACATTGAAAAGGTATTTACTGATAATGATGATATGATGACTTTGAGGTTTTACTGATAACTTTGAGATGATTTGGACATGTTAATGAGCTTCCCCAAGGTTACACAGAGAGGAGTCGGTCAGTTTCTCCCCCAAAACCCCATAAAAACAAGTCCTCAAACTCCTGCCTCCCAAGCACTCTTCCATCTCCGTAAGGTCCATGCTGCTGTGTGATCCCTACTCTAAGCCACAGTTATGTGAGCAATATTCTCTTCCTTTCCCCATCCCCATCCTCTTCCTCATATTGCCTTCTTTCATCATCCCATTCCCTCATCCCCAAGCCATGCCTGTACCCCTTTCATCACTTGTCTCTGCCTTTATGGACTATTTGCCCCCATGCTCTCTGTGTTTAATTAAAGTATGATTGCCACTTCATTTCCTGCTGCCAGTTGTGCTCTTTACCCAAAGAGCTATGCATGTCTGCCCCCATTTCATAATTTCATAATATAATTATCAGCTCATCTGGCCATAGCAACTCATGCATACCATCTACTAATGTGTCTGCATTAAAAGAGAGGCCAATTGCATGGGAAAAAAATCACATGTCTTTTGAAATCCTGAGGTGTGTTAATAAAGAATTTCTTTTGTTTTAATATATATTATATATTCCCGATTAGGGGCAATCCTGTAGCCTGAGAATCAGGGGCAGACTATATCTGCCAAGAATGCTGGGAAAAATCACCGTATTTCAGACAACCAAAGGGGCACAGTAGATAAGACGCTGAAGTTGGAGTCAAGAAGACTTGAGTTTGAATCCTGCCCCGTATACTTTATACTTAACCATATGATCCTGGACAAGTTATTTACCTTCTCTGTCTCAGTTTCCTTTTCTGTAAAATGGGAGATAATAGTAGCACCTACCTCACAGAGTAGTTGTGAGGATTAAATGAGATAACATATGTAAAATGTCCTGCAAATCTTAATGGCACATACAAATGATAGTTATTATTTATATTTGGGTTTATTATTTGTACTACTATTTGTAAAACTGAATTTTGGGGTTATAAAAACATGGAAAGATGGAGTATCTAAATGTCTAGGACAGAGTGGTAAGTAGGTACTAGATGGATTAAGAACCCTATGTTTTTTTTTATAAAGATAATGCTAACGACCTCATACTTACATATATAAAAAATTTATAGTTTATGTCATATCTTTAAAATGATTTCATGACTGCAGGGCTTTGGTCAGTGTCTAAAGATACACCAAAAAGGAGCAATTTACCTTCCTATATCCACTGCTTAGGAATTAGATGATCACATTATCTGTATTCATGGTTCCTAAATTAAAGAATGTCTATTTTGAAAGGTACCAAGATTTTTTTTTTCTTTAATTATCCTAGCATGGGAAAAATACTATAACACCTTTGTCTTTGTCACTGCATTAAACAGGGATTCAACATAGAAAATATAACTTAGGATCAGATTTTTAGATGTGAAAAGGACCTCAGAGCCTAATTAATCTAATGTTTATATATATATACATATATATATATAAAACAGATGAGGAAGCTGAGGCTCAGGGTAATTAAGAGATTTATTTGCCCGAGATCACCCAAATAATGAGTATGGGAAATGGCTTTATACCAAGATTCTCTGGGTTGAGAGCCATTCATCTTTCTGTTTTACCATGTCTCCCTTACTTAAATTATTTCACCATTCCTTCCAGATGTCTGGCCTCACTCCCAAGCAAATATCTCTCTTCAAGTGGATTGCTTCTGGTAATTCATCAGTAGTTTTTTTTTTTAAATGAATTTATTTTCATTTAAGATCTAATTAAACAACCAACTATCCTTCTATTTAACTGTTTATAGTATTGTCATGTGGAAAAAAATTTCTTCTGATTGGTCACTGTAAGGAGTTGATTGACCACAAAGAGTGAGATTTTGGCTGAATTTGAGGAAGAATTTTCTAAAACTTAGCTGTCCAAAATTGAAAAGAAGTTTCTTGGGAAACAGTCAGTTTTCCACTACTGAAGATATTCAGAGGAAGGCTGGATAACCATTTGTTAAAGACAGTGTAAAGAAGATTCATACTTCAGGTATAGGCTGGACACTAAATAACTTTTAAAGTCTTTTCTATGGTTCTAAGATATGCAAGTATAATAAATGTGACTGGTACTGTTAGTTTCTTTCTCTTTATTGAAACCCAGTTCTTGTTATCTGAAAACCTTTGTTGCTTCATGGACTGTATTGGTAAGATATCTCTTAAATTTGCCAGTGGAGATGATTTTTTTTGCTTATACTAATTACCCTTCACCCTGTGACCCGTCCTTCTAATCTGCTGATTTCTCCCAGAACTTCCATTAAGGAAGGTACACAGACCAGCCATGTCTTCCTTTTTCTTCAGGATGCACTCCAGACTCTCCCAGACTTTCTCTACAATTTCCTTGGGTGAGGTACCTTTATCTTCTCCTCCCTTACTTTATAGCTTCCTTTAAATGTAGTCTTTAAAATGTAAGCTTCTTGAGGCTAGATACCATCTTTCTGCTTGTGTTTATTTTCCCAGTTTAGCACAGTGCCTGGAATATAGAAAGCTCTTCATAAATGCTTATTGTTGACATGAGTAAACTGCCTAGCCTTTTTTGGAAAAAAAACCCTGCATATAGTAATGAAAATTCTTCAGTGTTTGTATCTTATCCTGTATTAATCTTCAAACCATTATTGTTTGTGGCAGCCCCCAACTCATTGTTTCTAAGTACATGAAAAAGATAAATTATATAAATCCAAATCGAAATACCTGTATTTTATCTAAGACTCCAGTGCTGTCCATCCTGCTGGCCACATTTACAGTGTTGCCCCAGATGTCATACTGAGGTTTCTGAGCTCCAATTACACCAGCTATTACAGGGCCATGGTTAATACCTGTGAAACATCAGATTCTAATTAACAAGGCAATTACAATTTCATCAGCTGTTTCTAATAAGTGACATCTTTTATAAGACTATTTTTTGATAGGACTGGGATGGAAGTTATGCACTCTTGCTGTGCTTATTAAAGGACACAGTTTGTAAAATGGGGAATTAGTAGCTTTTATTGAACACGCAAATGAGATTATGTCAGGAGTCAGACAGAAGTAGGAGGAATGAGGTCAATTTAACATTTTTGTTAGGAACCCAGAGAAGCAGAGAAAGGAGAAAGAGAAGGGAACGAATAGAATCGGGTGAAAATGTATTGGGAAGTCTTTGATTCAGCCAAGCATAGGAAAAAGAGGGGGGATTACAGAATTGTCTTTGTATGGTGGGGTTTTCTAGGTTGAGTTGTAAAATACAGACAAAATTAATCACTTATTTCTAAAGAAAATCATTCCATTATCTAGGTTACCCTTAGTGTAGGAAAATTGGAGGTATATAGAACAGTACTCAGTACAAACAGCTTCACCAGTTCTCAAAACGTGCATTCCCCATGAAGTTACGAGCTCCATTTTACCCCCAATAGGCTTATTTTGTCATTGGATAAAATATAACAAAGATTCCTTCAGGAGCTTTAGCTATCTTTTCCTTCCTCTGCCCACTCTAAGGTGAAAATCTCTCCAAAAAGTTGAAGAAGAAATATAATTTTTAAACTGTTCTTTAGTCTAGCTACTTGATTTTCTTTAGGCCTGCCTCAATTTCTTTTATTCCTTGGATATGTAGATATGTGCTCATAGGTGTGGCTGATGTAGTTTTCCTAGTAAAAAAACAATTACCTCTGTGTCAGCCTCCACTAAGTACATAGGTAGCATTTGCTTTTGACTTAGGCACATTGGCTGGTTTTTACATGGAATTTAAAAGCAAGGTGTATACAGGCTGGGTGTGCTTTCAGGCTCAGGTTGCCCTGTTAACTAGTCCTTTCCGACTTGGTGCGTCTGTCATTTGCAAAGTATTGGCTTTTCTTCTACCCCACCAAATGAAGAAGTTTTTAGATTGCAGTGGGCAATGACCTCAAACTAAAGTATCTGGACTTTTCCCTACTCATCTCTGGTTGTTTTAATGATTTGCCGCTTTGGGGGAGAAAAGAATCCAGTACAATGAAAAAATGTTGAGGTACCAGGTAGATACACTTTTAAAGCCAATATTCCAACTTTACTCTGGGAAGCCAACTAATAAAATGCACTCATTCAAAAAACCTCCAGGTTCTCATTGACCATTAGAAGTGAAGAACACCTTGTTCTCATAGAGAATGACTTTTCAAGCTTGCGTTTCTGCTCCAGGAGTCAGAAGTAATTTTTCTTCCATTCTAACAAGCAGTTCTGAGTGGCCCTCAGGTCTAAGGCCCCTGGACTGTAGTTCTGCTGGGGAGTTTGAGATCTCTGCTTCCATCAGCTCATTCTAGCAGCAGAGTGCTGACAGTCACTCTACAGCTCCCAGAGGTGGCCCACACTAACCTGCCATCCTGCTGGCAAAGGGAGTAATTTCCATTTTGAGAAAGAGCACAGGTGATCTGTGATTCTTGATTTACAGACTAACTACCCAGTTTAATATACAAAAGAGGAGGCTGGGGAGGAGAATTCACCTTCAAGCTTTCTTTTTTTTTTATTTGTTTGGAGGGATGCTGTCTCAAGTCCTAGGAGACAGTTTCAGTACCTCAAAATGACCACTAGATGGCAGTATCTACTAGGCACAAGAATAGAGCAACAGCTTTGCAGGAAAAAAAGGTTGGGACAGGTAACCAGACTGTTACCTAACAGGAGAGATGGGTTTGCTGGATGGGTTTGTAATTATAACATAAGTCTTCAAAATTAATTATACTTAAAGTTAATTAGGTATGATTTCCATTGAATTCAAAGCTTGAAAGATGGCTTGATGGTTATAAATCCGACCTGTTTTCTTCTCCTAGTATATTAGTAGTTCATTGGAAAATGATATAGTCTAAGTCATAGAAATTATAACTATCCAATAAAATTAATCCATTGTATATATGTATGTATGCATGCCTTTTATCCGGTCCATTGACTTTCCTTACTCTGTAATTAGTCATTTCTGTGGAATTTTGGGAATCATAACCCAAAGGGTAGAAATTCTCATGGTGGTAATGGATAGAGTACAGGCCATGGGGTCCATTTCTCTTCCCATTTATATGGGAAGCAGTTGAATCCATGAGGGTGCTATATATTCCTAAGGGAGGGGAAGGGGGCAGTTGAGAGCAGTCTCCTTTCTCCTGAGAAAGTAGCTCTAAAAGCAGCCTTCTTGTCATGGTGACACTATCTCTGCAGCATCATATGGTCTGGGTGAAAGTTACCAGGAATGAGGTGGACAAGAAGGAAAACGAAACAAAAAGATAATAGAGCCAAAAGCAAAACTACGAGTTCTCTTTGTCATCATACTACCTATACAACGCAAAGAATGATACAAATTAACAGTGATCATTATATAAGAAAATTAGAAGGCAAATTGTCTGCTTTATATTCCTTAATGCCATTATTCTCTTTACCTGCCTAGGAAAGCCCTAACTTCCTGTGTATTACTGGATTCAATACAGGAATAAAAATCAAAGCCAGAAAATATCAGCTGCTCCCCCCCAAAATCAGATTTTCAAAATTATAAGAAATTTAAAAAACAGGGAAAAAATAAGCTCACAAGGAGGTTCTCAAAGAGAGCTACTTTCTTATTAATTATTCTTTTCAGTGGAACAGGCTTTTAAACTTTAGGGGAAGCAACAGATCTTTGGGCACCTTTGATCTAAAAGGTGCTGTTATCAAAATCAATGTTGCTTAAAACAGAATTGAGGTTAAAGAAATGAGATCACTTAGGTGAAAACAGCTGAGTGTTACAAAAATGTAAGGGACTGATATGCAAGATAATACATTCTTTTTCTTCATTTTTTAAAAAGGAAGAACAATCTGATTTGAGTACCACATAAACTATTAAGTGGTGAGAATCTAACAACTTTTGGAATCATGATTGATTTTCTTTTGAGTTATGGATCCTAGGACAGTGACTGGGCTTTTCTTTCTGCAATCTAAGCTAGTTTCAAGGCTACAGCTGTTTGCATTTGACCTTCTCTTGGTCTTTGAGCCTACCTAGTATACAAGACTGTCATTTATTTTCAAAAAGAGATAAGAAGGCACATGGAGTCCTTTACAAAACATACCCACTCGCAACTTGAAGTCATTGAAGGAATGTTTGTTGATTACATCCAATTTAGCTGCCAGGGCAAAAGCAAATTCCACCATGGTGCCAATGTGCATGTATTGGCGCTCAGGCTCCTGAAGGGAAACAAATATGTACAAAGAGTAGTTAGAGAAAGACTCAGAATATCTTCTGTTGATGCTCAAATCTGCACAACAATCAGAAAACTGCTTCAGATACAAAACTCTGCAGTATATCTCATTATATGTAAGCCAGTCCTACTATGGACTTTAAAACCTTTTCTTGGTATGAAGGACCCTTTCTATTTTATGGCATTTCCTAGGGTGGGGAAAAGCAGAGACTTTGAACACCAGAATGGGTTAAAAAAAAAGATTCCTTGAGGTGAACAGAATTCATATTTGTTGGGGGGGGAGGGTTGATCAGGAAAATCCACTGCTTTCCTCTTGCTGTCTGCCCCCTCCCTGCCAATCTTGAGCACTTCTCTCCCCTTAGAATCCAGAAGTTTGTATGACCTCTTGTTAAAAGTACAATTGACAGGGGCAGCTAGGTGACACAGTGGATAGAGCACTGGCCCTGAAGTCAAGAGGACCTGAGTTCAAATCCAGCCTCAGACCAAACACTTGACACTTACTAGCTGTGTGACCCAAGGCAAGTCACTTAACCCCAATTGCCTAAAAAGAAAAAAAAACCTGTAAAAAAAAGTACAGTTGACAGCTCCCGTTTGGTTTCTATTGACTGGGACAGTCTTCAGGATAATTGCCTGTCGCACTCAAGCAAGTTGAATAGCAATCCTTCAAGTCAGTGAATTGTCTACACTGCCTAGTATAAGTACATAAGCAAAACTAATATTCAGGATAAGTTAGAGGGAGTTCATAAAAATTATTCACTCTTTTTATTTAACAGGATTTAAGTTTATAAGATTAAGACAATTCTGACTTACAGTCACTTAGTATATAGAAAGCCAGGGAGACTTGTGTTTAAGTCTTAACTCTGTCACATCCTGACTATGTGACCCTCGGCAAATCATTTAATTTCTGAGTGTTCTAGGAAGCTCTTGAAGATTTTAAGTTGCACAAAAAGGTGTCAACTTGCATGGACTTTCCTCATCCAGGAGATCCCTATACCAACGAAACTGTAGGTCCAGCTAAGACCTATCTTGCTTCCATAATATTCTTTTGCCATAATTTCTTTTTTATGAGGAATACCAATCTAGCCATTGAAAAGCACACCATATTATGCAACTGAATGTGGCTATCAAATTGGACTAGGTAACCTCTATGGTCTCTTCTCACTTTAAATTAATGACGTACAAACCCCAGAAAAGATACCTATGTGACAGTCCCAGATTCTCATATTCAGATGCAGGGCAGTGTCAGAAACTGCTTTTTCTAACTGCCTATTCATGGGTCCCATGGGAATTTAAGGTTTCCTGCCCAACTGAAATCTCATGTCATTTTTACGGAATGGCTCTATTGAGGGGCATTGCTATTACAAGTTCATTAAGAAGTGCCCTAGGACATTTTATTTAACTACTGTATAATTCAACTGGATGATTGTCTTTCATAAAAGATATTCTATACCTTTCCTGAACCCTCCCCCCAACTCTTTCATGAATGAACTGTAATAAAATCCTAAAATTGGACTGAGGGGAAAGGAGATTGCTTTCTTCTGAGGATATCGTGATACTGAGGTAGACTGACGCTAAATTTGTGCCAATGACCTTCTCTGGTTAACAGAGTTAAAACCTATACTCCAAGGTGTGACTCAATGGTTGGAATCGAAAGTTGCAGTGGAGATAAGGATGGGAGAAGACTCTACTCCTAATGTAATTGGATCAATAATGTGTGAAGAAGACACCTAACCCCTATCTATGTGGTCAAACCAAAGCTGATCCTGAAGCTTGGTGAAGACTCTTAATGCTTGTGAATAGAATAAAAGGAAGTAATGGGTCATGATCTCCTTTCTCAAGCCTGAGTTTAGGGGTATATATTAATAACTTTTTTTTAATACTGCATTCCTATCTGACCACTCTTCAGTCTCCTTTGTTGAGTTTTCATCCAGGTCAGCCATTATCCAATTGTATCCCTTGTGACTCTGTCCTGAGTCCTCTTCTCTCTCTGTACTTATCTACTCCCTCCTTCTCTCATCTGTATATCAGATGAAGCAGTAGGAAATTTAATGGAGTGGATAAAATAAAAAGAAAGTCAAGAAAAATAGGAAAAAAAGTGATCTTATCAGGTCCCATAGATTTTATTGTCAACTCTATGCAAATGATTTTCAGATCTATTTATCCAGCCCTAACTTCTCTCCTTCCCAACTGACCTATGTTGACCTGGATAGAACTCACACATTCAACATGTCCAAAACAAAACTTGTGATCTTTCTCTCAAAATCTTCTCTTCTAAACTTTCCTATAAAGGGCACTACCATTCTCCCAGTCACTCAGCCTTACAGCTTAGGTGTCATCCTCAATTCTGTCCTCTCTCCTGTCATAACATCTCTTCTATTTGTCAATTCTCTCCTATGACACTGCTATTACCCTAGGACAGGTTCTCATCATCTTACACTTAAACTATTGCAGTAGCCTGCAGATTGGTCTCTGTGCCTCATCTCTTCCCACTCCATCCATTTTCTATTTATCTGTCAATCTGATCTTCCTAAAGTGTAGGCATTACTATATCATTCCCACCTCCTATTAAAACACAAAACAAAATTTCGGTGGCTCCTCATTTACTTCTAGGATCAAACATAAAACTGTGTTTGTCTTTTAAAGCCCTTTACAACCTAGGTCCTTCCTACCTCTTCAGTCTTTTTAAAAGTTAATCTCCCTTAGAGGTGATAAAGAACTGGAAATTGCAGGGATGCCCATCAATTGGGGAGTGGCTGATCACGTTGTGGTACATGATTGTGATGGATAATACAGTGCTATAAGAAATAACGAGCTCAATGATTTTAGAAAAAACATGGAAAGACTTGCATTACATAATAAAAAGCAAAATGAGCAGAACCAAGAAAATATTGTATATGGTAACAGCAATATTGTTTTTAGAATGACTTCGAGTGAATAAATAATTTTGTGTATTATCAACACCCAAATTAACTGTAAAGGACACATGAAGAAAGACACTATCTGCATCCAGAGAAAGAACTGATAAGCAGAAGTATGTATAGAATAATCTTAAATATAAATCTATTTGTGTCTAATGGTAGCCATCTCTAGGGTGGGGAGAGGGAAGAAAAAAAAAGAAATCTACATGATAATTTTGTTGTATTTTTTGAAAGGAATAGTAAGTTGTGCATTGCAGATATTTAATGTACAATCATCTTTTTATCATACCATGTTGTGGAAATGCTTGTTTTATTCCATAAATTAAAAATAAAATAAAATAAAGTTAATCTGTGCCTGCCACCCCAACCAAAGGGACTGCTTTTGCCTCTCTTAGCACTTAACAATGTGCCTTGTACGTAGTGGGCATCACACATGTGCTTATTGTCTTAGATAAGCCTCAAGTTTTTTTTAATCAGCTTTAGAGTATATGTGCAACATAATTAGAATGGGGAGCAACTTAATCAACCAAGAACCAAAAGCTGCTTGTTTTAGTTTAATGTGTAATTAAAAGTGTACATCCAGAGATCCTTGAGATGACTTTGCCACACATTTTTATGTAAATATCAAGGTCCTTGAGACAGCTTGCCTTCTTCTGCTCTTTAACATCCCACAGGTTGATATTTAACCCAAAATAGTACTGTAGAACATTTTTAGAGTCTAGAAGTGATTTGATCTTACCTGTGTCTAAGAGTCATTGAGACTGTAGCAGAGAGTGAGAAAATCTCTGAACAGAATGCTTGTAAAGAAATAAATGACTATGATTGATTGATAGGTATGATTCTGAACACAAGGCTTATTTCTTCAGAATTATGGATATGGAAGTACAGCCATATCAAATCCAGAGAATGTAACCAGTGACACAAGATTAAGTAGGGATGTTTCATTCAGAAATACTATTCTGAAAATGTGTCCTTATTTTCCATTCTTGAAATATGGCCATCAAATCCGTAGTGAACTTCCTTTCCTTATTGACTAAACAAAAATGGCACAATACACATGCGCGCGCACACACGCGCGCACACACACACACACACACACACACACACACACACACACACACACACAAACTTTCTATCTTTGCTCAGAGGTGAACTTAGAGTTTATGTGCCATAATTTTCTTGCTTAGAATGAGGACAAGGTTTCAAAATTAAATAATGTAGCATAGTGGATAGAGAAGCAGCCTCAAAGCTAGGAAGACCTAGGTTCCAGTCCCATCTCTGAAACACAGTAGCTGTGTGACCCTGGGCAAATCAGCTATCCTCTCTATGCTCTAGGCTACTCTCTAAGAGAGGGGCAGGGAAGGTATCAATTGGCATTGATCAGGGGGAAAGAAAGGGAAGGGAATAAATATTTAAGCACCTTCTATGTGCCAGGTACTAAGAGCTTTACAGTATGATCTCATTTGATCTTCATAACAACTCTGGGAAGTAAGTGTTATTATTATCCCCATTTTACATTTGAGGAAACTGAGATAGACTAGAGGTTAAATGACTTGCCCAGGGTCATACATCTAATCAGTATCTGAGGTTGGATTTGCACTCAGGTCTTGTGACTCCAGGAAAGATATTTTTTTCACTTCACTGCTCCCTCTACCAATGAAACCATAAGTCCACTCCTATCCCTATCCTTACATACTTATCATCTTGCAGGTAACATTCTTTACTCAGGTATACTTTGCTAAAAGTTTTATACAAAAGTTTTGATCCAAAGAAGTATAAAACATAGAAATAATATATTAGAAGATTTCCATCTGGCTGAAGGAAATGTACACCTGCATGAAACATTCAAATAATAACACCAAATAATATAAGATTAATATCCAAGATAATAGTGCACAAGCCTTGGAGTAGGAGTACCTGAGTTCAAATTCAGCCTCAGACACTTGACACTTACTAGCTGTGTGACCTTGGGCAAGTCACTTAACCCCATTGCCTAGCAATCAACAAATAACAGCAAATAAAATAAAATAAGTGTGGAGGAGTTTAGAAAAGGGAGTGATTGATCCAG